GCTAAGTACACAAGTAATCCATGCTGAAGTACAAGCTGTGATGTTTCAGTGCCATCTGCTGGCAGAAGAGCAGAACTGCTGGCTGCGCGTTCCCTGTACGTAGTGCGTGCTCGCCAACACCAGTTGACGTCATGACGCGAGCCTTTAAAAGGAGAAAGCTAGCCCGCCCCGCCTCCTGCGTTTTAGCATCATGGATTATATTTGGGTCGMAATCCAGGTTGACGGTTTCCGAGTGGCTTTAAGAGAAACCGTAGCTCCGTTTAACGTCTAAATCATTGATAGTAATAAGAAAAAGGTAAGATAATTAATAAATACTGCCGTGACGATGAAATTCGTTCAAGACTGTTCTCGTCTTAAATCCTGCAATAATATCCACCTGCTACACACAACCATTTTCTGTTTTTTAATTTTCTACGAATTTTCTACTTTTATAGGCTGCACGAGCACAATTGTTCAATTTTAATGGATATTTCTAAATTGTGTTTTTTAAAGGAGATTGAAAATAGTACTTTTATATGTTGCAGTACATTCTTTTATGTGTCAATATCATTTAAATTAGGTATTGACCAGGTAAATATGCATCATTTGGAATAAATGTGAACAAATGTTTAGTAAAATAGACATCTAAGAGATTAGTCACATGTTTATGCACTATTGTGAGGATAGTGGGAGAGTTTTTCTTTTTTTCCCCAGCTCAGTATCCTCAAATTTAATGTAATATTTAATAAACATATCAATTTTCCTTCAAGTTGTGCCAAAACGTGATTTTCTTTCTGAAGATACTTTAAGAATAGAACCTAATAAGGGAGAACGCTTAAAGCAGAGACACTGTTTGCATCAGCGTCAAAGCTTCAGATAAGAATTTCCACTGTTAGAAAGCAGATCCCTGCATTGAATGATAAATAACTCCAGAGTCACCTTACGTCACGTTTCCAGGCGTCTTTTCCTCAAAGCATTTTAAACGTGGAGTCGTCCTCGTGGCACTGCAGTGGTGTTTGACTCGTTTCAGGTCGGGAGCTGAGGATGAGGCGTCTGTCCAGGAGGAAGGCTCTGAGCCTGGTGAAGGAGCTGGACGCCTTCCCCAAAGTGTCCGAGAGCTACGTGGAGACGTCCGCCTCTGGAGGGACAGGTGAGAAGACGTCCTCCCAGGGGGGGGGACAAAAAAGCCACGTCGCAAACGGACGAGACGATGTTGGGGGGTTGACGCTCTCTGCTCGTCCGCAGTGTCACTCATCGCTTTCAGCGCCATGGCCGTTCTGGCCGTCTTAGAGTTCTTCGTTTATCGGGACACTTGGATGAACTACGAATATGAGGTGGACAAGGATTTCTCCAGGTGAGCTGGGATCGAAAAGCCACTCGGTACTATGAATACAGCTTTTGATTGCAGCAGACGAGCTTTCTTCTATTGCAGCAAACTAAGAATAAATGTCGACGTCACAGTGGCGATGAAATGTCAGCGTGAGTATCCCAGCAGATGTGTGGCTCTGAGTCCTGACGGTGAGCTCTGACATGTTGAAACGTGTTGGGCTGCAGATGTGGGAGCAGATATTCTGGACCTGGCAGAGACGATGATCACGTCGAGCGGCCTGCAGTACCAACCTGTGAGTGAAACCGTTTTGTTTTTTTTAACAGGATTTTACAAGTTTTATTCAAAGTTCGTCTTCTTTGTGGGTTTGATCAGGTTATTTTTGAGCTGACTCCACAGCAGAGACTCTGGCAGAGGTGAGAAAAACAAACAAACAATAATTTAATGACACTCCAGATGCAGTTTCTGCCCCGTGAGTGGGGTTTTCCTTTTGTTTTTCAGGACGTTGCATCTGATCCAGAGCAGGCTGAGGGAGGAGCACGCTCTGCAGGAGGTGCTCTACAAAACTCTGCTGAAGGGAGCTCCCACTGCTCTGCCACCCMGGTGAGGAAAACAAACGCACCACCGAGTGCAACAAATGTGTTAAGATCAGATCAGCTGGTAAAATTTTTATTTATTTTTTTYCCCCACAGAGAGGATGAGTCTGTGGAGCCGCTCGACGCCTGCAGGATCCACGGACACGTTTATGTCAACAAGGTGGCAGGAAACCTTCACATCACAGTGGGAAAGTAAGGATTTAAAGATTTAAAATTCTAGGGATCCATGATTAGTTGTAACATTAGACTTTATTTAATAAACATATTTAACT